CAGAAAAACCTTAAAATAAATACACAGAAACACGGATCATGACAAACTATTTAGCTTGCTAATAAATATTTAGTTTGAAGTTGTGGCACTTAAATGAAAGAATAACATGGTGCAAATATGACTGAAAAATGAACCTGACGGGGGGCAGATAAAGCTGACGATAACCAGATTAAAACTGGTCTATGGGAAAACATGAGTAACAAAATTCCTCTGAGTTTTCCGTTCATCTTTTCGGTCTAAAAATAACTCAATAAAATGCAAAATAAATCTAAAAGTGTCAAATTAATCTATAAGTTCCAATGCTTGCAGATTGACATTTTTTTATTCCCCATCAGAAATGTTTTGGTTTAATGAAAATCTCTTTCAATTTAAACTAAACTCATAATAAAGTTGTTGGACTGAAGTGTTGCACTAATAAAGCTTTTTTGCTTAGAATCGGTGGATTAAAACTGAACATTTTTCTCACAACTTCTTCCTAACCATGTCTTGTTTTTATTTTCCTTTGAATCCCTGCAAAACCTTTTTCTTTGTTATATTTTCTTTCCTGAACTATCCTGTTCTCATCTTCCTGTCAGGTGGAGGAGAATCGTAGCAGCTTATTCTTCTTCCTCCTCTTCCTTCGTTTTTTCCCCATGACTCCTAACTGGTTCCTTAACATAACCTGTCCTGTCCTCAACATCCCTCTATCCATTTTCTTCTTCTCTGTATTAATAGGTGAGCTAAAAAGCATAAAAATGAATAAACAAACAGATGTGCCGCAGATCCAATGACACAGCTGCTGTTTCCGTCTTATCTTCCTCCTCCAAGGTTTAATCCCGTACAACTTCATCTGTGTGCGTACGGGTTCCGTCCTGTCACAGCTGTCCTCTTTGGACGACATATTCTCGTGGGGGACGCTGGCTCAGCTGCTGGCCATTGCGCTCATGGCTCTGCTGCCTGGAGCGCTCATCAAACACTATGGCTCTGCTCACCTCAAGCTGGATGGCGTCACCAGCAATGGAACCGGCCAGGACAGGAAGAGCAGATGACATTGAATGCCAACGCTGCTCAGGTAGAGATGGACATTTGTGACCTTTAGACCTCTGCTAGGTCACTCTGGAGACTCCAGACATTCAGGGCGGTGCTTATTTTGAACTTCTATTTTTATCAGGTTGTGCTTAGTCTTCATTGCCTTAAAACACCTTAGAAGTTACTGTGGTGAAAATCCTCCTCTTGAATGCATGGAATGTCACATTTTGCAAGAAATTTTCATTATTTTGCATAGAGCTGAATAAGTGTCACCTTCGAGATGAACAAATCTTTCTGTTCCTGTTAAAGATCTGATGCATGCACTGCAAAAACACTAAATATTACAAAGTATTTTTCTCTAGTAACTTAATAAACTTAAAATCCGACACACGGACTCACAAGTAAGCTCTGAAAAAGATATATGAGCTTGTTACAGGTAAATAATTTGTCAATATTAATAAAAACAATGGATTAATTCCACTGGCAGATTATTTCTTGCTAAAAGTAGCGAAATCTGCCAGGGGAGTTGATACTTTTTTCATATATATAATCAGTACAAAAACTTGTACAACTTACTGAGAAGTTCTTGTAACATGAAATGAGGAAAAAATGAAGATATTTGCAGTAGAAACTAGAGAACAATATGAGATGTTTTTGCTAATCATGATTAGCTTCATCATCACTTATTCCGCAGTATGTTGAATGGGTTTATGCATTTTCTCTGTAAAATGGGAGAGGTCTCGTTGCAGTGACTCAGAGCGACTAGTTTTTCACATATAGAAATATTCAATAAGTTGTTTTTTAATTTTTTCTGTAATTTTTATTACTTAAATCGCTTCTTAAATGGTTAGCGATTATTTGGCTAAAAAACAGACTGTTGTAAAGTCTTTATTATTTTGCATTTATCATACATATTTTACTAACTCTTAGACATCTAGATTTTAGATGTTACTTTCTTTCAAATCTATAGGAAGATTTGAAAAAGGCATGTTAAATTTTTTAGCCTGAAATCTGTTCTTTTAAAATAATAATAAACGACCAGTTTATTATAATAGCTTGATTAACGTTGTGAATCAAGTTCACATACTCGCTGCTAAATGTGCTAATTGAGGAGAAGTAGCTTTCTGATCCAGGAAACTGTTTATCCGAAGTCATCAGTGGTCATGCTAACTAGCAGGCTCTGTTGATGGGGCTAGCTGTGACACAACAGAGAGCGAGGGGGTGGGTGTGAGCAGCGCACACACAAGCAGGTTTAACAGCACTGAGACGTTCCTCCTTTTTCATTTATCATACATATTTTACCAACACTTAGACATAAGCCAGTAGATTTCAGATGTTATATAGTAACATCTAAAAATTCTGTCTTCTTCTGAATTGTTTTTTTCTGACCAAGCAGTGGATTTCTACAAATGTGATTTTTTTTTTTTTTCACAGATTATCTGTTTCATGTTAGGCTGCCATGACAGAGCGACACATATGATGTAAAAAATACTTAAAATAATTATTTACTGCGGCTTTAAGGGCTGCCTGTTTAAATCAGGAGTTGAATCAGATGTAATTATATAAAAAACAAAAACCTTGGAGTTAAAATTTTATTTTGAGCAGCACTATTTAAAACATGAGTAATCATGCCATAGACTGATTATTGCTGCAAGCAAAAGTACAATGAAAAGTGTGTTCAAAAACATATTATGAAAAATGTGCTCAAACACATTAGATGTAAAACTCCTCTGGGATTTATGTATCTGGCTCCAGATGTTTCCTTCTGTTCTGATTTTGAAACTTCTGTTTTTACTGATTGTGTTCATTGCAGCTGTCTAAACTTCATAGTGGCAATCCCGTTTTGGTTTGTTTACATCTTTACAGCGTAGTCAAGTTACTGTTTTTGTTTTGTTTTTTGTTTTCTTAAAGCACTGAAACACGTCTTAAGATTAAATAGATGGTTCTGACTGATCTACCTTAGGTTTGATTTCATCTGAATCTGTTCTATTTTATTTAGTATTCTATTTTAATAAGTATTTTTAACCGTAAATACTGACCGTCTCACCTCCCATCATGAGGTGAGACTTCCCTCTGATTCACTCTGTATATTTAATTGTCATGTCAGATTCTAATTTTTTCACCCACATCCAGAACACAACTGAGAACACAGGTGTTTATTGTGAGTGGTTTATTGAAAAGAAACAAAACAGGAAGGTGACAGGTAATATTAGGGTCCTGGATCTCTTCGCTCGGCTCACGCCAGAAATCTGAGCACAGGAGGACAGGTATGGTTAGTTCAGGCTCTGTTTGGGATCTTCAGTAAACGGAGTAGGTGGATCTTACGTGGTTTGGGGCGGGTCCGAGCCGGGAGGGGGAAAGGGCGTCTGGGGGGTCCAGGGCTTGACGGAAGGAAGTGGACGGCTGGAGAGGCGGCGTCGGAGGGCGGACGGGTAAGCAGGGAATTCCACTGCTAGGCGCACAGGCAATCTCGGATCTCTGAGGAAGAGGCACACAAAGGTTCACTGAGAAAATCTCTAGACAAGGTCAGAACAGAGATGAAAACTCTGGGGCCTGAAGTACCGAACATAGGTGACGCTCTGGCAGTGAAGTGACGGCGACACCCTCCTAATATAGGAGCTGACGAGATTGGCATCAGGTGCGTTGGAACCGGAGCTGAAGGCCAACCCTCCAGGCAAAAGCCTCAGGACGCCCTCTGGTGGACAAAATGTGAAACAAAACCCCACCATCCCAAAACCCTGGATCCCAACGTTAATCCCTGCAGACGTTAATATGGCTGCAGAAACTTCTGATCTTTTCCCATATTAACATACTTCT